CTCAATACTATAAGACAGAAAGGGTCCTTCCTCTCCAGTTAGAAATAAGAATCATCCACAGCCTTTGTCCTAGTTGCATAAATTTGTCTTACATATTTAAGCAATAAAATAATTGACTAAAAACAAAAGAACAAAAAACACCTAAAACCCGAATTCCATAAAGTAGACCAAGACCAGGGGAAGAAGTAAACAGCAGTGACGGGGTGTAAACTAATAACAGCATCTGGAAAAACTCCTGGCAACATGCACTGTAGCTGAAAATAATGCTTACCTTATGCACCAACCAATTCTGCTCCTGGATAAAGTTCTCAAGGAGCTCATAGGCTCATGTGGCACATAACCACGTTATTCAAAGCTGTATTTCCCAGACTGCGTGCAGGAATGTGTGGGGTTTGTGACAGGTCTTGACCCAATGGAGTGAGTAGAGAAATTATGTTAAGTCATTTCTGAATTTGGAAACGGCCTGTATACGCGTCACTCTTTCTCTATTAAATGTAGTGAAAAAGACACAACAGAGTGGAACAAAAAGAACTATCAAGTCTGGAGAAGAGGGTAAGAAGAAGATAAGGCAGAACAAGGTGCTTGAATCAAAATATCTAAGTAGGATACAGCCCTCCACTGGGAGAAGCTGTCCCTTGGTAAAGACAACAGCGTGACCGGAGTGGAGGTAGAAGCTTAAAAAGGTAAAAAGATAAACTTATGAATTAATAAAATTGTACATTCACTCCGTAGATGTTCATTGAAAAGAAAAATAAATTAAAATAAAAAAATTCGTACATTCAAAACTGTTGTTGTTTTTGTTAAGTGCTGTCAAAACTACTAAAGAAAAATTTAAAAGCACTGATCTTAATTCTAAGACCAGCTTCTGAAAAATCATCCAAAGTGCAGACAAGTCTTCTACCTATAATGGTCAGAATTAGTAAAGCTAACTATTTAACAAAAAATCCTGTAAATCCCTGAAATTTAGTGCAATAGGTTCTCACGTAGAAACTTTTAAACGATACGCTCAAAAGGTTAATGAAGAAGGAGGAAACAGTGAGGTTTATACTTGGGTTTTACGGTCAAATCAGGAAGTGGTTTGCGTCATTCTTGCGCTCACCCCATTGGGCCAAGGCCAGTCACGTGGCACCTACTTCTTTGAAAAGAATTCTGGGAAATGTAGTTTTTCTTTGTAGCTATATGAACGTAGTTGTGGGGGGCTAAATTGGCTAGTAGCAATTCTCTGCCACCTGTTTTTGGACATCCAGGTATCTGTGTCCCCGCCTCTGAGGGATGTGTTGACAGGTAGAATAAGAGAGATTAGTTAGGAGGCAACTGTAATTCTTTTTTGTGGGACTGTATTGTAGTGGTAGAACAAGGAGTTTGTAGTAACCACAGGTAGCACCGTAGACTAAGCATTGGACTGCTAACCGAAAAGTCAGAGGTTCGAATTTACTAACTGCTTCGTGGGAGAACAATGAGGTAATTTGCTTCTGTGAACATTTGCCTACTTGGAAGCCCCTAAGGGGTAGTTCTGCTCTGTCTGTAGGGTCCCTAAGAGTTCCAGTGTCTCAGCAGTGGGTTGAAGTGGAAGCTGACGCATTGTTCACCAAGTGTGTGTGGGGAAAATATAAATGTTTATCAATAGATGAGTGGATGAGTAAAATGTGGTCTATTCTGGTTCCAAATTACCTCAACAAAGCAAATATCAAAGTAAATAAAATTACACATTTTGTTTTCGCTTTCCAGTGTGTATAAAAGTTACATGTACACTAGACTTAGTCTCTTAAGGAGTTCTGACACTTTGGTGGCTAATGTGTTACGTGCTGCGTTGTGAACCAGAACCTTCAAAGTTCAAATCCATCAGCAGCTGCAAGGGAGAAAAATAGGAAGTCTCCTTCTCATCAAGATTTACAGCCCTTGCCAACAAAGGCATTAAACTCTTTGCTCCTATTTTCTGCCCCTGAATTTGGTATCAGCGGTGTAGGAGCTGCCTATGTTTACAGTTTATGCACAAAAGACCTTAACAAATGAAGCTATTTATTCTGAACATTTATATGTATACAAGGAGATAATTTATTTTTAAAAACAAGAGACTCAAAGTAGGATAGTTATCATGGTTAAGAAAAGAAACCTGTTCATTGTTCAAAATGAAAATAATTTGTTAGGTGTTCTAATAATTTATAAATTTGAAGGGGGAAAAATATTTACAGCCTTGGCAACCCCACAGAGGGTCGCTAAGAGTCAGAATCTTCTCGACCACAGAGGATTAGGTCCAGTAGTCTTCTTAAGCATGCAACAGCATTAGGAAAACGTTTTAAATACTGCAAGAATGACTAAAATATGGCACAGAGACATGGAAATGTGTACACTGTGCTGTAATGGCAACAGTGAACTTGTTTGAGGCAGGGCTGCCTGCCACCCATTAATGCAATGCCCGCAGAGGGGAAAGGGGTGAGGCACACTGGGATGAAATGTGCTGCCCTCGCTCAGCCTGAAACGGAAATGAAATCCTCATGAACGGAACCACCTCGAAAGCATTTCGTAAAATAAGTCGATCACAAAAGGATTGATTGCATGATCTTTCCAAGATGAAATAACAAGAATAGGACGATATTCAGATACTACAGTTTATTAGTGGTTGCCCAGGGCACGAGCCCTGGTGGTCTAGGCTGTAGGGAGCTGCACTGCTAGCCCACCGGCTGCATCTCTCTGCTTATGGATGGAAGCCAGCGGCAACTCTGCAAAAGGATGGTCAGTCTCCTCCTGTATGATTTACAGCCTAGGCTGATTGACATACAGACCTCAGGCGGGGTAGTCCCCGTGTCTCTGGTGATTCGAATGCACCATCAGTTCTGTGAGAGAATGATAGGCAATCTCCTCCCATCCCGATTTGCAGCCGTGGAAACCTGATGGAGTTGCTAGGAGTCGGAATCCTCTCCATGGAAGTGGGTTTCATTTTGGTCTGAGGCAGATGACAATGAGCCCTGGGGGGATAGTGATCAAGGTATTCAGCTGCTAACCAAAAGATCAATGGTTTGAATCGGCTAGTTGTTCAAGAAGAAAAAATGAAGCAGCCTGCTTGCGTGCAGTCTTGGAAACCCTAAGGAGTAGATCTGTTCTGTTCCCCACGGGATCACTGTGAATCAGGATCAACTCTATGGCAGAGAGACCTTGGATTGGGTGGTACGAATGGCTCTGATGGCAATCTGTAAAGAATCTGGGATTTGGCAAGCGTGAGGAGGCTGATGGGTATGCAGGTCTGTTGCAAACAGAATTGGGCATCACGGACTGGAATCTAATTGTCAAAGTCACAGGCTCAGTCCTGGCGCCTTGGTTGAAAGGGTGCTGTGGCAGAGGCCGGAAGTACTGCTGCGGGTTCAACTTCCGGCTCCGTGTGCAGTCACAGCTCAGCTGTCTTCCACCTCCAGGGACCTTCCCACTTCTCCAAGGCAGCACTTTCACTTCCCCCCCACCCGCCCCCAGCAGTTCAGCGTCAGCACCTGGGAACATCTGGGGACAGGTCTCAAGACTGATGCTGTTGTTATGTGCCTCAAAGTCGGAGCCGACCCATAGTCGACCCTCCAAGGGGGTTTTTAGAGGCAGTAATTTGCTCAGGAGGAGATTGCCCATCCGTCTCCCGTGGGTCAGCTGGTGGATTCACACCCGGTGCCTTTGGGATTGCAGTGCAGCTTCTTACCACTAAAGCCACCAGAGCTCCCTAAGACTCCCAGACCAGGGGACAAAGATGGAAGGTAGAGACTGAGTCAAAGGTGGAGTGGAGACTCGGGGGTGGAAGACAAAGACAGGGGTGTAAAGAGGACACAGAGACCTAGAGAGGAGGAGACAGAGACCCAGAGATAGAGGGGGACACCGGTACCCAGAGAGAGAGGGAAAGACAGGGATCCAGAGAGAAAAGGGTGACAGAGACCCAGAGAGCAAAGAGAAGATACGGATCCAGAGATAGAGAGAGACTCAGAGAGAGGGACAGAGACCCAGAGAAAGATAAACATAGAGAGAAAGGGACAGAAACCCAAAGAGGAGACAGAGACACCAAAAAAGGGACAGAGACCCAGAGAGACAGTGGAATAGAGACCCAGGGAGCAAAGAGAAGACCGGGATCCAGAGAGAGAAGGGATAGAGACCCAGAGAGGAGGAGACAGAGATATAGAGAAAGAGGGCTAGATGCCCAAAGAGGAGACAGCAAGGCAGGGAGAGGGGCAGGGACCCAGCTCAAGCCAAGTATGAGAGCAGAGTGGGAAGCAGAGATGGTAGGGTTTATCAGGTCATGAAGTCAGAGTGTCTGTGAGGTCGGCCTCTGTCCAGGGCCAACCCTGGGGCTGCTGTGCCCAGGGCAGGTAGACCAGGAGACCCTGCTGGTGCCCCAGACTGAGCCATGGAAACCTGGGAGGCGCTACCTCAAGTGTCCTTGGCGACCCCCAAAGCCAAAGACCCGCAGGTGTGTGTGTGTGTGTGTGTGTGTGATGCTGGGTGACTGGGTGAGGGGCCAGGGACAACAGGGACCCAGACAGTGAGAGAGTCGCCACATGTGAAGGAGAGGGAGAGGGTGGAGCCCAACCCTAGCACTTCCTCTTTCTCTGTGTTCTTCCTTTCTCTCTCTCTCTCTCTTTCTCTCAGACTCAGGCCTCTCTGCCTTTCACCCCATCTGCCCCCCACTGCCAACACCCCTCAGTCTGTCCACTGTGTTGGCCGCTCCCCCTTCCAGGTGAAGATGTCGGCCCAGGACAGCTGCCTCAGCCTGATCAAGTACTTCCTCTTCGTGTTCAACCTCTTCTTCTTCGTGAGTCCCCCCGAGGGTGACCCAGCACGCGCCCCAGTCTCGCCACGGCCCCCTGGAACCTGAGCCCCACTCTGCCCACCCACCCTCTTCTCCTCTCCTCTCCCCAGGTCCTAGGCAGCCTGACCTTCTGTTTTGGCATCTGGATTCTCATTGACAAGACCAGCTTCGTGTCCTTTGTGGGTGAGGGGGGATGGGGCAGTCGGGGAGGGCCTTTCTGGAATGGCCACGGACCCATCCTCCCCACAGGTCACCTCCTGGGGCTCACCTTCCTCTGAAAAAGGCTCCCCTAGTGCCCGAGTCCCTCCGAGGGGTCCACCTCTCTGAACCTCAGTATCTTCTTCTGACGAATGGGGTTGTGTGTGTCACTCATAAAAATCACAACAATATTAGCAGCAGCCATTTCTTCAGCACTTCCTGTGCTGGTTCAGGGGCTGGAGCCCAGCAGAATGTCCCCCTCGCCTGAGATTCAGAGACGGCCATTCACTTGCCAGGTGTCACACAGCAAAGGAAGCAAAAGTGCGGAAATAATACTAGTAGGAAAAATAAGAAGACAGTTAAAACTCAAAATCCTAATAGCTCGTACTTAACAAGCTTTACTGAAAACGTAAATTTTACTGTAACTCAACTTATAAGATTTACTTAACAGGGTCAATACATATTTACCCTGGGTTCAGGAGCCCTGGTGGCAGGGTGGCTTACCTCCCAGCTGCTGACTGAAAGGTTGGCAGTTCAAATTCAGCAGGCACTTCGTTGGGGGTGGGGAGGATGTGGCAGGCTACCTTGGTAAAGAGGTATCATCTTTGGAGACCCCACAGGACAGTTTCTAGGCCATCCTACTGGCTGGTTAAGAGTCCAAATCACTCCACCAATATGATTGTTTTGGGTTTGGGTGTGTTGTTTGATTTTGTTGTGGTTTGTGTTGGTTTTGTTGTGGTATGCTGGTTTTGTTTTTGTTTTTCTTTCACCCTGTACAGAGGACAGGGTTGGACACATTTTCCCATTTGTCTTTCAAAATCACTCTGGGAAATAAGATATACTAGACTGCTAGGAGAACAAACAGGTTTGTCCTGGAGAGGGTAAAGCCGGGCTGTTCCTTGGAGTCAAAGATTCTGAAGCTTTGTCTGACATACTTTGGGCATGTTGCAAGGAGGGACCAGTCCTTGGAGAGGGACGTCATGCTTCAGAGTGTGGAGGGACAAGGCAGGAGAGGAAGACTCTCGATGAGGTGGATCAATTCAGTGACTGGAGTAATGGGTGTATGTGTTTCAGAGACAGTGAGGTTGGTTGGCACAGGATAGAGCAGGGTTTAGGGCTCTTGTACGCAGGGTCATTATGAGTCGCAAGCGACTTGGTGCCCTGGGCCACAGACAGTTGAACCAATAACCCAAAGGCTGCACTTCTCCGGCAGTTCAAATCCACCAGCCACTCGGGGAGAAAGATGGGCAATCTCCTCCCATACAATTTCTAACCTTGGAAACCCAATGAAGGGTCAGCTGTGTGTTGGTTCTGACTCAGTGGCAATGAGCTGAAACCTTAAGGAGGTTAAGTGACTGATCAAATGTTACAGATCATGTGATGGAGCTAGACTGGTAAGGAGGCACAGGAGGAAAGGACAGACAGAGAAGTAGGGGTCAGTAGCAGAAAGAGAAGTGTCCCCGAGAGAGAAGAGACAGAGGCTTAGAGACAAACCCAGAGAGAGAGAGAGAGAGAGAGAGAGAAGGGGACAGAGATCCAGAGAGAGGGGGGGATAGAGATGCTGAGAGAGAGGGAGACAGAGACCCAGAGAGAGAGGAAGAGCGATCCTGAGAGAGGGACAGAGATCCTAAGAGGAAACAGATGCAGAGAGAGAGAAAGACCCATAGAGAGAGGGTCAAATACTTAGAGAGAGGGGACAGAGACCCAGAGAGAGAGAGACAAGTACTTAGAGAGAGAGAGAGAGAGAAATACTTAGAGAGAGGGGACAGAGACCCAGAGAGAGAAGGAGACAGGGACTTAGAGAGACAGAGAACCAGAGAGAGAGGGAGACAGGGACTTAGAGAGAGAGGCACAGAGACCCAGAGAGAGAGAGAGAGAGAGACAAGGGCATAGAGAGAGAGGGGGAGAGAGAGACCTAGAGATAGAGGGACAAAGACCCAAAGAGAGAGGCAACCCTGAGAGAGAGGGACAGAGAACATGGGGGGGGGGGGAGGCTGGAGACAGGAACCCAGAGAGAGACAGATGCCGAAAGGGGAGAAGAAAGGACCCAAGATGCTGCTCCCTACTTAGATGGCTGTGTAGGTGGGGGCAAGGATGTCCCAGAGCTGTGCACTCACTGTCACTACCTGTCCCCTCCCCAGGCTTGTCCTTCCTCTCCCTGCAGATCTGGTCCAAGGCCCTGGCCGTCTCAGGAATCATCACCATGGGCCTCGCCCTCCTAGGCTGCGTGGGGGCCCTTAAGGAGGTCCGCTGCCTCCTGGGTTTGGTGAGTGGCCCACCCCTTGCCCTCCTCCCTGTCTCCCTTCCTGGGCCATGTCCATAGTCATTATTGTGAGGTGCCTTCAACTCAGCTATGGACCACAGAACAGAAACCCTGCACAGTCCTGCTCCATCCTCACAGTCTCCACTATGCTTAAGCTCATTGGTTTTTTTTGTTTTTTTAAATATGATTCTTTTATTTATTCCAGGCTTGTAATTATACAATTTAGTTTGCCGGGTGAAAGATACTCAACAACCATGATGATTGTTCTATCTTTACAATGATGCTCACTAAACTCAAATGGCCTTAAATCCTGTGCACATCTATTCTGTATTCCACTTTTTATTTTTAAATTATGATGATGATGATGACGTGTGTATCATCAAATCGGATCTGACAGGTACAGGAGATTGTACCTCCTCCTCCAGCAGAGCTTCTGATGGATTTGAAGCACACACCTCTGGGACTGCAGTGCAGCTTCTTGCCACTAGGCCACCAGAGCACGCCTATATTCCACTCTTAAATAAGCATTTCATACGAATGTCTTTATCCTTAGGCCTCCAAATCGGCTTGTCCCATATTAATTTTGTACTGTTGATTCTAATTCCACTTGGTGGATGGACTTGGTGTGAAGACTGATTTGCTATTAGAGTTACAAACTCAATTAGCAGTTTGTGGTGTTTGAAGAGAACATTGTTCTAAGTGGTACAGTACTTGTCTGTCCGTTTGCTGTACAATACATCTCGTTAACGGTTTTCATTCTGTTTGCTGATGCTCTGCTTCTCTAAGCATGATGTCCTCGAGGAACTGGGTCCCTCGTGGTAACATGCCCAAAGTATGTGAGCTGGGATCTCACCTTCCTCTGGCTGCACGTCACCGTGTCCCCAAGGACCCCCAAATAGGGATTCCCACAATCACTGCAGCCTGACTCCCCTACCTTGTCTCCCACAGTATTTTGGGATGCTGTTGCTCCTGTTTGCTACACAGATCACCTTGGGAATCCTCATCTCCACTCAGAGGACACTGGTGAGCTGAGCTGGGTAGCTGATAGTGGTGGTGGGTGATGGAGGTGGTGGTGGTGGCCATGCAAAGAGGCTGAAACGAGATCTTTAAGGGAGGATACAGCCCCTCTTTGTCCTTTGGAGCAACTGGTGGATTTGAACCACTGACCTGTTGGCTAGCAGTACAACAGGTACTTCACTATGCTCCCAGAGCTTCTCGAAGAAGAAAAGAAACCTACTAATTGCCCCTTGTGATAGTGAAAGGAGGCAGATAAGCCCAGCAGTTTCCAATTGGTTCATAATTCAAAACTGGGTAGTTTGAACCTGCCCAGCGGTTCTGCGGGAGAAAAGTCTTGACATTCTGCTCTGGTCAGAGCCTTGAAAATCTAGGGAGTTGTTCCACTTTGCATGCGTGGGAGCCAAAAATCCACGGGAAGACAACCTAGCAGTAGAGGTAGAGAAACACCCCAGAGAGACAGGCAGAGAGGATCATTAGCAACCGTGGGACTTAGCGAGCGATTCACTGAGTGGCCCACAGAGAAATGTACACCCCCTGGGACTGGGAATGCTCTGGAAGGGCAGGTGAGGGAGACAGGGAGGCGGAGAGGAAAGCTTAAGGTCTGGCCTCACTCCTGGTCTCTCAGCTGGAGCGGAAAGTACAGGAAATGGTGCTGGACACGATCCAAAACTACCACGCCAACCAGGAGGAGACCTCGGCGGAGGAGAGCTGGGACTATGTGCAGTTCCAGGTGCGTGAGCCCCTGCCTATCCCAGCGTCAAGGTGAGCTGCTCTTCGAGGGCCTAGGCTCTGACTGGTCCCGTCACGGCTTCCATCAGCCTACACACACACACACACACACACACACACACCATCGGGCTCCAACTGTACTCCCTATCCCCACTATGCGTCTGCCCCTCCCGTTCATAGCCTACTTCCAGCTCCAGGACACACTGAGATCGCACCTGGCAAGGATCCATTCCCTGCCCTCGAAGAGATCATGGCTCTCAGGGCGTCCTACCCTCTATGAGATCTACTCAAGCATCACCCCCATCCGTTTGTCCCTACACGAGGCTGGACGTGCCCACCACTCCCTCACCTTCCTGCGCACAGCGTGATCCTCCAGTTCTTCTCCCAGCCCCGTGTCCCTTTTGTGACCTGCCTCTCTCCCAGTCCCGCCCCCTAGTCCCGCTATGTCCCCAGCACCTTGAGTAAGACTGCACTCCACCACTCAGCCCCCTGGTCCTAGATAGGATTTTAAAGAACCCTTCACCCAGCCCCTGTTTAATCCCACCGACTCCTAACTCGCGTCCCTTTCTCCCCAGTTGCGCTGCTGCGGCTGGAATTCTCCGGAGGACTGGTTCCAGGTTCCCAGTCTGAAAAGCAACGAGTCCGAAGGAGCCTTTGTGCCCTGCTCTTGCTATAATTCGTCGTCAACCAATGATTCTGCGATCTTCCATAAGATGTTCCCCCAGCTCAACAGGCCGGGACCTCGGGCAAGAGCCAGAGACAACAGGGACATCTGCGCAGTTCCAGTCAATGATCACATCTACCCTGAGGTAGAGGGGCGTGGAGACGCCTGCATGGGGCGTGGTCTCTCGGAGTGGGCGGTGCCTCGATGGGGCGGAGCGGGAGTGTGGCCGTGGTCCCGTTGGGTGGGGCTACACTGAGGGGCGTGGTTACTTAAAAGGGCGGGGCCTGTATGATGCCCTTATTAGGAAGAGAGTGGCAAAGCTTTGGAGAGGCGAAAACCCCCCAAAAGCTAGGCCGGTGAGGTTAATTTAGGCTCACGGGAACTCTGGGGCTTCCAAAGTTGTAAATCTTATATTAAGAGGAGCCTGACCAGTCTTTCTCTTCAGTAGATTGATTCAAATCACCGATCATTTAGGGATAGGCCAGCCAAAAAAACTAAAGAGACTGTTGCTCTCGTGTCAACTCCAACTCATACGACCCTGCGGGAGCCAGAGCAGAACTGTGTTCCACTGGGTTTTCAATGGATGGGTTTTGTTTGGTTTTTTAAAATTACTATTAGTTTTAATGAAAATTTACAGAAACTTTGGATTTCCATTCATTCATTGCTGCACTTTTCTCCCTGCCCACCCCTTCCCCCGATGGGTTTTTTTAAAAAAATCAAAGCTCCAAGCCTTTATTTCAAGGCAGCACTGGATGAACTCAAACCTTCAACTTTTCAGCGAGCAGCCACCTTTCGCACTACTTAGCGGCTCGGAATTAGAGACTCCATAACTAGGGATGCAGCACATCAAGGCCCTGCCCTGAAATAATGGGGTAAAGACTAAGTTAAGAGGGGCGAATCCCATAAAGAACCGTACGATTAATCTTTCTGTTCACTCCCAGGGCTGCAAGCAGAGCCTCCAGAAGTGGCTGCACAACTACTTCATTTCCATCGTGGGGATTTGTCTTGGCATTGGTCTCCTCGAGGTGATCGGGCTCGGCCCCTGTTCACTGTTGGGTCCTTCGTCCCTACATGGCCCCGCCCCAATTGCGCAAGGGCGCCCATTGTCTGGGAACGCTGCTTGCATAAAGGATTTTCGGGGTATCCCACCGCTGATCCACTTGGGATGGGGAAAAGGGGAGAGAGGGAGGGGGGAAAAAACTCCCAAAACAAAGTCTGCCCTCTGGGAGTTGATTGGCAGAGGGCAGGAAGTAGGCGGTCCTACTTTTCCACGCGAGGGTCCCATTGGTCCTGCCTGAAGCCCAGCTTCCTGCTATTGGCAGCTCTATCCTCCACCCCCTTTCGCTGCAGGTGAGTGTGGTGGGGCTGAGCCTGCTGTTGCGGTGCTATGGGCTCCACCCGATACCCCAGGAGCAGGGGCCGAGCACCGCCAGTTCGAGCCCCAGGCCCCGCCTGAGCGCCGGCTGCGGTGGGCGTAGTGCCACGTTAAACAGCAACAGACGTAGCAGCAGCCTAAGGGGTGGCCGGGGCTTGGCGAGTGTCTACCCTACCTGGGGAGACATGGCACTGCAGGGCAGGCTCCCCGTGCCCTCGTCGCTCTGGGACCAAGAGGAGATACGCGAGATGGGAAGCAGAGACGCAGAGGTGGTGGACAAGGGAAAGACAGATGAAGGAGGAATAAAGGAGGGCGCTTTGCACTAATTGCAGCCCTGCACTTGGCTTCAGCCTGAGCTAAGCAGTGTAGTAGCTTAATTCTCAGGTTCCCCCGTCTAACCTGCTCCATCGCCTGCTCCCTCACTTCCAGCCTAAACTACGCCTTGGGGACCCTTAATGCCCACCACATTCTCCCTCAGTTTAATCTGGCTTCCCTGGGAGTGGCAACCGGTTAAATACTCCAGCACTACTAGCCCCAAGATGAACTCACTCAGAGGCGCCTCGGAAGAGAGACCTGGCAATCTCCTTCTGAAGAGTCACAACCTTGAAAGCCCTCTGCACACTGTGCACGCGTGCGGTGGCTTTAAACTGCCCTTCCAGACCCTCCCACAAATTGGTCCAGTTGTTTCTTCCCACCCCACCTCCTCTCCTTAACTATTTCCCCTAGGGCCTTCTTTTCGAAATCTGGCCCCTCCCTCAGGTCTCGAACCCCTGACTTGTCTCCCTCAGCACCCAGTCGAACTTGCTGATCACGTCTCCTCTCTCTGTATAGCTCGCCTTCATGATGCTCTCCATATTCCTGTGCCGGAACTTGGACCATGTCAGCGACCAACTCAATCAATACCGCTAGGCCCCGCCCCGAAGCCCCTCCCCCTCCCTTCAGGTGCCCAGGGCACCTACTCCCAGGAGGACTGTAAATATTTGTTTATTCCCCAAAGGGGACCCGCCCAGGCACAGAACCTTCCGCCCCGTTCCCCCCTCCCCAGACCCCAGGGGATCCAGATGTCTGTCTCCTCCAATTTGCTGCCTCCCTCCTGGGACCTGGGGCTCAAAGAGAACTCCCACCACCTCCCCTCGACATTATTTTTCACTCACATCCCAAATAAATGTCGAATTTTTGGTAAAATAGCTTTATATTCTATCAAAAAAACACAACCAACACACTTTTGGGAGAAGAGGGGCCGGCAACACAGCCTAGCCCGTGGCTCACTTAGAAGAAAAGGGGGAGAGGAGAGATTAAAAATGCCTCACCTTATCCCTTGCCCAGCTGAGACAAAGACCCTAATGCCCATTTATAAATATCTCTTGTTATATTAAAAAAAAAAAATTCAGTGCCCACCTGGCTGTGCTCTGGGACAGAAAGGGTTAACTTAAAAAAAACAAAACAAAACCCCAAAACCCAACACATCACAGAGAATGGGGGTGTAACTGGGGAATGCAGATGTTAGGGGGCTGGAAAATGAGCGGGGAAGGTGGGGTGACAAGTCAATGTGTGATCCATGTGACAAAGTAGTGAATCACTCCAAAATAGTGGGGTCCCTGTCAAGAGGCTAGGGTGGTCTCACTTCTGTCCCACTGCCTGATGGCCTAGGGTCCTGTCCTTTCAGACATTACTCCATGATATCCCAATTTTGGGGTCTATGTGCTACTCTCAATCCCAGCCCATTCCATCAAGACCAGGGAGCAGAAATGAAGCTCCAGGTTTTGGGGTCCCCTCTCAACGTTAAAGGCAGCTCTAGTCACTCAGGTCTCTGAGGTCAGTTCCCTTTCATCCCAGCCCCCACCCTCCCAAAATGAGGAGCATGGGGAGAGCTGATGGGGTCCTGCCTAGGAAGGGGAGCATCCAGGGGTGAGTCAGTTTTGAGGGTTCCCCTTCAGTCCTTGACCAGGCGGTAGATGTGGTGCTGGGCTCCGCGCTCACTGGTGGAGACCTCAAAGACGTAGGCGGTACACAGCAGTAGCTCCTGGGTGTCTCTGTTTGTCACCACCTGCCAGGGAGACCAAAGGAGAGGCTGGGGCTCAGCGGGAGGGGCTGCTGTGCCCTGCCAGGGCCTCCAGAGACCCAGGTGGTCTCTTCAGAACCTGCCCACCACAGATCTCAGGTAAACAGCATGCCCACCATGTGGACAGTGGAAGTTAGTTTGCTATAGAGGTTCCCACTGTCTCATGTTTAAGGAGCCCCCCCCACCCAATATCTCATCCCTCAAATTCACAGGGCCCCCCCACCTTGTCCCACCATGATGCCCATCACCTCAGAGATCACATCATGTCACATTCTCTGGATTAATGGGATACACATCAGATTGGTTCCCTCTGAAGGGAGTCCCCAAAGCTGAGGATCTTCTAGAATGTGTTCTGAAGGGGTCCCCTCAGCGAAGGCCCCACTCTGGGGTCCCTGTGTGTCAATTCCCTTGATCAAGGGATCTCCTAGACTGAGAGCCCACCATGGGGGTCTCATCATATCAGTTCCTCAAGAAAAAAGGTCCCAGCTGAGAGTGCACTGAGAGTTCTGAGTAGAAGGATTCCCAAGACCCAGGGCTCTCTGTGGAGTCTCCACTACATCTGTCGCCCAAGGCTGAGGGCTCAGTCTGGGGTCCCCTCCCATCAGTTCTGGGTGAAGGCAGCCCCGAGGCTGAAGGTGTGCCCAGCGGCCCCCAGTGCCCCACCTGGAGGATGGTGAAGTTCTCCAGGACGCTGTTCATCATGTAACGCTCGGGCAGCTGCCGCAGCTTGTGCAGGAAGTTCACCAGGTACTCGCACATGGGCGAGCGCAGCAGGCGGTACACGAAGCGCCCATCCTCCAACTGCGCACGCTCCGTCTGCAGGGGGGAGGGAGGGAGGGAAGGAGGGAGGAGGGCAGCAGGTGAGACACTGGGTGCCCCAGGGAACCGAGCCCCACTCCATGCCCCCTGGGGGCAGGGAGCTACCTCCCACCACCCAATGCCATCTCCCTTCCATTAGTCTAGAGATGTAACCTCGGGGGTCACCCCTTGGGTATCCAGCTTATGATCACCAAGTCTGCCAGCCTAGGACCCCTCCAAGACTCCAGAGAGTCATCTCATCACTGACAAACAGCAATGACCTTTACACAGTCCAGAGCCTCACAGAGACCATGACCGTGACATCTCCAGACTCCATAAGGCCTCTGAAATCAAGACTCGTCAAGTGCCAACCAAGTGTGACGTCTGAATCGCCCTGTCCTTGAATCCCTTCCTAGCCGCTATGAATCTTATTGTGAATCACCGTGTCAGCTTGACTTCACGTTAACTCCCAACACTCTGCTCGATTGATCCTCGTCCCATTGCCATGACTAATTCGTCTCACTAATTCGCTTTAAGACCCCTCTTGTGTTTTATTTGTTTTGGGGTTTGGTTTTGTTGTTTTGTTTTTAATCTTTTAATTATTTTGTGTGTGTACCGTCAAATCAGATCTGACTGGTACAGGAGGAGACTGCCCCTCCTTCTCCAGCAGAGAATCTGGTGGAGTTGAACCGTGTGCCTCTGCGATTTCAATGCAGCTTCTTGCCACGAGGCCACCAGAGCTCCCTAACCCTCTTGTTTTAAAAGACACCTGCTAGGTGCCGTCCAATCAAGTAGGGCTCTGCTGTCCACGGAAGGAAAAGTCAGAGATGGGACACACAGGCATGGGGATCAGACCACAACAGCTGGGAGAACTGCAGCTCCTATGCTACGCCTTTCTGGGGTTTTATTGAAAGGTATCAGGAAAGTAAACAAAGAAAAATCACAAGGGAGCAGTAAACAGAAAATATTATAGAGAAGTCTTTTGTAAATAAGGCCGGATTCTTCTCTATTATTTATACCTTATGCTTATCTCAGGAGGATTTAGTAAATACAAACTAAGACTTGTGTAGACCCTTAAGGATTGCCTCGGTGCCACCCCCTGTAAACATTTAAGGTTTGCTTCAGCGATACAGGGTGAATTCCAGCTTGTATCAGCCTCGCTCCTATCCTGACACAGCATTTGGTTTATTATTAATATTAAATTTGATATTTGGCTTCCCGCAGGGCTCGTGAGACAGAAGCTCTGCCCTTGCCTGTGCCGTCCTTGCCACGCCTGTCATGCTGAAGCCCATTGTTGCAGTCCCTACATCAAACCATCTCATTGAGGGACTTCCTCTCTCTGACCCTCCACTTCTCTGAGCTTTACTGCCTTTTCCCCAAGACTGGCCTCTCTCGACAACATGCCGTTACGTTAGGATGTGAGATGAGGTTTCACCATTGCTGCACTCTGGCTGCACTTTGTCCAGGAAGGATTTATTTGTTCTTTTCTTTGTTTAAATTTTATTTCCTTTTAAATTGATTTTCATGAAAGTGTACAGAGACTTTGGATTTCCATTCATCCATTGTTTCACTTTTCTTCCTGCCCCCCGCCACTCCCAATTCACTTTTCTCTTTGAAAAGTACAAAATTTTTCATTGTTATTCAATCCC